TTCTTCCAGAGCACATTGTTGTGCCTTCAACCTTTAAGTTCGTAGGTGTTATATATATAATTTTAAAGAGCATTTGATCTTGAATGAATCACTAATTTCTAATTATAGTTGAATATTGTGATCGTTTATGATTTGTGTTGAAGATCATGCATTAAATTTAGTCTTTTCAATAATTATTTCATATTTTCTACCTTACGATGGATATTTTTTGCCTTTCTAGAGTTCAGTGCACATTGTCTCTTCTTTAAGAGCACATTGTTGTGTCTTCAACCTTTAAGATCGTAGGTGTTATATATATATATATATATATATATATATATATATATATATATATATATATATATATATATATATATATATATATATATATATAGCACTGATTATTAATTTTAATTGAATATTGTGATCTTTTATGATTTGTGTTGAAGATCATGTATTAAATTTAGTCTTTTCAATAGTTGTTGCATATTTTTGTGCTTTACAGTGCACATTTTTGCCAGTGCATATTGTTATGCATTCCAAAGCACATTTTTGTGCTTTCCAGTAAACATTGTTGTGGATCGCATGTGACGAATATTTTGTTTTTTTTTTTTAAGATGAGTTGATCAATGACTGAGATTCAACCACATGTTTCACCTGCGGCCTTCTATGCACCTGAACCTAAGTATATATATATATATATATATATATATATATATATATATATATATATAATCAAAAAATTAATTGTAATTATATAAAAATTTAACAACACATGTTTAATTGTAATTATACTAATATTTGTGTAATTATTAACTTAATTAAAATAATAATTATTAGTTAGTTATATTAATATATGTGCAATTAATTCTTTAATTATCATAATAATTACTAGGTAATTATACTAATATTGTGTAATTATACTTATATATATATATATATATATATATATATATATATATATATATATATATTACCATGGTAATTCAAAATATTAATTGTAATAATTATAACAAAAATCCAACGACCCGTGTTTAATTGCAATTATACTATTATTATAGTAATTGTTAGTTAAATTACCACAATAATTATTAATCAATGGAATAAGGTTCAAATAGGTCATCCAACTGCACACCAACATGGAATTAGGCCACCCAACTCAAAAAAGCTACAATTAGGTCCCTGAACTACACAAATTCATGCAATTTCATAAAAAAAAAATGACTTGTTTACCTTTTGATACGCTGACGTGTCGGTTACCAAATTAAAAAATAATTTTATAACTTTTATTTTAATAATTAATAATTTTAAATACAAATGTATTTTAAAATTAAAAAAAAAAAAAAAAAAAACGGAATCCGCCGGAGAGGTCTCCGGCCAGCCATGGAGAACCCTTCATCTCTGACCAGCCAAGAGACGAAGGGGATCCCTTCGTCTCCGGCTGTTTTTTTTTTTAAAAATAATTTATTATTTAAAATTATTAAAATAAAAGTTTAAAAATTATTTTTAATTCTGAAACCGACACAATAGGTAAACAAGTCATTTTTGGTGAAATTGCATTAATTTGCTTAGTTCAGGGACCAAATTGTAGTTTTTTTTTTTTAGTTCGATGACCTAATTGCATTTTTGTGTGTAGTTGGATGACCTATTTGACCCTTATTCCTTAATCAATTATACTAATATTCGTGTAATTATTATCTTAATTACCATAATAATTATTAGATTTTATATACTAATAGTCTGGGAGGTAGTTTGGGTGAGAAGTTGCACAAGTATGATTTTGTTTTTATTAGTGGGGGTAGTTTAGGCGGGAAGTTGTAAAAGTAGTATTTTGTTTGTTTATAACTAGTATTTGAATCGATATATAATTATTTTAATTAGAACATCAAATATTATATAGTGCAATTGAAGGTATGGTTTCGATCGTTTATGTGCTTTTATGTTATTAATTGCTCAAATTAATAGCTAATATGTAGATGTACGCATGCGGTGCTGTAACTTTGGAGATTTTATTTATCATTGTTCAGTATTTTTATAAATTAATCAATTGTGCTCGTTCTCTAGCAACTTAGTTATAAAAATGAATTGATATCCTAATTTATTTGTATGGAAAATATATTTTTTGTCTAGATATATAGCAATTTTGCTATTTAAAAAAATATAGGCCCTGTTTGGTAAAATGACTGTTAGCTGATAGCGGTTAGCTGTTAGCTCTTAGTTGATTGTGTTAATTAGAGGGTATAAATAGTTGATAACATTAGCTTATGGCAGAAAAGTGTTTGGTAAATTAGTTGTTAGCTGATAGTTGTTTGGTATAATTTCTTTTCTCAAAAAGTTAATTGAAAAAGTTGCTTGAAGTAGCTTTTTGAATTTTAGCCTTTTTGAGTTGCAAAAAGTTAATTAACCAAACATTTATATTGATATTTTAACTAAATCAAACAATTAATACTGGTCAAATAAGCCAAAATTGACCTATAGGCTAATTTTTTATCAAACAGGGCCAATATCACAGATTGTATTTACACACTATTGAAATCTCTTTGTAGACAACATTGGTAGTAACAACACAATCTTGTCCATCTTCGTCTAGAGCTAACACCTTTTGTCCATCTTCATAAATGGGTGACTCGGGTGAAAATATATAATGGTAGAATTTCAGTCAATTAGTGATCCTTTTATATTTTCAGTCAATTAGTAATATCAGATTCATTTTCAGCCAATTATTCTTTTTTATTTTTAGTCAATTAGAATATTATATGCATTGATATTTTTACCTAATTTCCGTTCCATTTTTAATTAATGATGTATAATATTTTTATTGAAATAATTTCGTTCTATTTTTAATTTACCTTTACTATTGTTTAAAATATGCATTTACTATTGATGATGTAGAATATTATTATTAAAATATTTTCGTCCAATTTTTAATTTTCGTTCTATTTTTTAATTAAAATGCAATGATCTGTCAATTTATTTTTACATTTCAATTATGGATCATTTTTTTTATTTGCAGTCAATTATTAATATTCATTTCCTTTTATAATTTCAGTCAATTAGTAATATCAGATTCATTTTCAGGAAATTATTCTTTTTTATTTTCAGTCAATTAGTCAATTAGAATATCAGATGCAATAATTTTTTATCTATCCGAACCATTTTTAATTGATGATGTAGAATATTTTTATTGAAATATTTCCGTTCCATTTTTAGTTTACCTTTACTATTGTTTAAAATATGTCTTTACTATTGATGGTGTAGAATATTATTATTGAAATATTTCCTTTCCATTTTGTATTTACTTTTACTTGATGATGTAGAATATTATTATTGTGATTTATGTTCCATTGTTTAAAATTATGAAAGATTTATGATAAAAAAAAAAAGTTTTGTGATTTGATTTATTCTACTATGTAATATTATTGTGACAAATTAAAATGCAACAATCTAACAATTTTTTTTCCATTTTAGTCAATTATGGATCATCTTTTATTTTCAGCCAATTATTAATATTCATTTCCTTTTCCAATTAACCTAATTTCTGTTTCTTTTTTCATTTTTAATTTTCAATCAATTATTAATATTCATTTATTTTTCAATTTACCTAATTTTTGTTCCATTTTTAATTGATGATGATGTACATAATTATTGTGAAATATTTCTATTTCTTTTTTAATTTACCTTTACTATTTACTATTGTTTGGGCGGGTAATCAAGTAAATAGAATATTGTTTTTAATAATAGTATAGATTTTGAATGAATTAAGGATCTTTTTTTTTTTTTTTAATTTTTCCTATTTTACTGCTAACATTTTTACTGATTATTATTAGTATTAATTAATCAGTGAATTCCGTTTCTTTTTCTATTTTTCGTGAATTAAGAATCTTTTTTATTTTTCTAATTTTTGGTAGGATTTTTTTTTTTTACTGTTATCCTTATTATGACCTTTTTTTTGCACAATCTTCCGTTTTTTATTTTCATTTTCATCGAATTAAGACTTCTTTTTTATTTTCCTTTTTTGAAGGTCAACCAATGGGTTGTATTCATAGATAAGCTGAAATAGCATCAGGTGGGATAACATCCCAATACATAGCTGTTTCATACTGGAAAGCTGTAGAAGCTAAACTATGCGCTAAATAATTCTGCGATCTAGGAATGAAATTAACGTGGCTATAATTAAACATAGACAATAAATTCGTACATCCATCAATAGCATAACCAACATATGATCGTGTGATCAGTTGCGGTGTGGTTAAGTAACTTTGTAGCATCTGGCAATCTGTATAAAGTTCGACATTTTGTTCTCCACGGTCGCGTAGCCAAGATAGAGCCTCCTTTAAAGCCTATGCCTCAGCCATTAGTGGGGAAAAGCAATGTGGCAAAGGTGCGGCATATGCCGAAATAAATCGACCATCCGAGCCAATTAATACTGCTCCTACCGTTGACGCATTGTCCGTATGGTGATATCCAGCATTGACATAGCATTTGGGGTGTATTTGTGTTGGGGCGTGATTCTCCGTATACTGGATGCCGGCTTCGTAGGCAATATTGGCCGCTGGGCCGTGATTTGGTATAGCTTGGTCGGCAGTTTCGTGGGCAGCGGTAGGCAGTGGGGCGGTGGTTGGCGCAGCAGCAGTCATTCCTCCTCTCGGCGCATGGACACGGCGCCATGCAGCTATTTCGGCCTGGGCCGCGGCGAGCAATCGTCGTGGTCTGGGCAAATATGCATCCCAAACCGCACCATTCCGAGCCCTCCATAAATGATAAATAATTGCAGCTGCGTAGGCAATACCATCAGAATCTAGAATATTTAACATTGCACTAAACCATTCATAAAAAATATTTGTCACAATATTTATAGATGGAAGGTTAGATAGTGCCCAAATGGTCCTTGCGTAGTCACACAAAACCAATGCATGCATAATATTCTCATTTGCAACTCCACACATAGCACACACCGGATCAATCTCTACTCTCTTTATAAGCATGTTATTGGTAGTAGGGAGGATATCACTCAAAGCTCTCTATAATAAAGTCTTCCATTTGGGTGGTATTCTTTGCTTCCACAATGTTAGCCATTTCGTGAAACCCCCACTCTCCACATTCTCATAATTCCCCGAAACACATTTATACCCATGCTTAACAGTATAGTTGCCCTTGGGGTCGCCATGCCAGTACAACATATCATCATAGTCTGGGGAGATTGGTATTTTTAGTATTCTAGCCACATCATTGGGCTCAAAAATATCAGTAAGCAGATCATAATCCCAAGTGCCTGTATCCTGGTCAATTAAGTTGATTACCCTGGCATTACTCAGTTGGGGTGGCATTTCTGTTTGGATCATGGGGTCATCTTCATCTTGCAACCATGGGTGTCCCCATACCGAGGTAGAAAATCCGTTCCCAATTCGTCTTCTTACCCCACTACAAATTAAACCCTTAGCCGCCATAATGCTTCGCCAACAGTGACTTGGGTTGTTCCCAAGAATCGCATCAGTAAAAGGTTGGTTCGGATAATATCTTGCCTTATAAACTTTAGAAACTAGAGAATCTGTATTGGTTAACAGTCTCCAAGCTTGCTTTCCCAATAGTGCCACATTGAAAGCTCTTAGATCTTTAAAGCCCAATCCAACATACTTCTTTGGAATACATAACTTATCCCAGGCTTTCCAATGGATTCTCTGGTCAGTCCCTGAGCCCCACCAATACCTATTCATCAACCTCTCAATAGCCGTACAGATAGCAGTAGGCAATAAGAAAACACTCATTGAGAAAGTAGGCATAGCCTGGGCCACACTTTTCAATAAGACCTCTTTTCCTGCCTGCGACAATAGTTTCTTATTCCAAGATCCTATTCTCTGTCTGATCTTGTCTTCTATATAAGCAAACGCCGCTTTCTTATTTCTTCCAATAAATGATGGCAACCCAAGGTACTTCCCATAGTTAGGAGCCTGGATCACACCCAAAACTTGCGCCACATTTTCCTTGACCACCTCCGTCGTATTCTTACTATAGCATATACTAGATTTATGGTAATTAACAGCCTGCCCAGACAGATTTTCATATAGAGCCAGGCATCCTTTAATTTCATTTGCCTCCTGCACAGTTGCTTTAAAAAATAATAAGCTATCATCAGCAAAAAAAAGATGTGAGATAGGCGGAGCACCCCTTGCTACTCTACATCCATGTATTAAACCCCTCCTTGTGCTTGTTGTAACAACATAGAGAGCCCTTCAGCACAAATTATAAAAAGATACGGAGATAATGGATCCCCCTGTCTTAAACCCCTAGTTGGTATTAGTGAATCACTACGTGTCCCATTTACCAGGAAATTATAGGATACCGTCGTAACACACATCATAATAAGATCAATCCACTTATCATCAAATTCCAGGGCCACCATCATACCTTTCAAAAAAGGCCACTCCATCTGCTCATAGGCCTTTGCCATATCTAGCTTTAAGGCACTCCAACCAACTGCTCCACACCGTTTCCTGTTCAAATAATGGCCTACCTCTGAGGCAATCAAAATATTACCCGTTATCAACCTGCCTGGTATAAATGCACTCTGGGACTCACATATAATACTATCCATTAGGGGCTTCATCCTCCGGGTAATCATTTTGGCCATAATCCTATAAATTACATTGCTAAGCGCAATTGGTCTCAAATCAGAGACCTGCTCAGGAACATCTTTCTTAGGAATTAACACGACATCGGTATTATTCAGACCAGGTGGTAATGAGCCTACATTCAGACAGCTTATAATAAAGGCCGAAATATCACCTCCCACAATATCCCAAAAACTCTGGTAAAAACCCGGGTTCATCCCATCCGGCCTTGGCGCCTTATCAGGACACATTTCAAAGAGAACATCTTTCACCTCACCCACCTCAAAGGGCTGCATTAATAACTCATTTTGTGCCTGAGTTACTCGTGGAGTAATATTGCTATAAATCAGATCACCATTCATGGGATTCCTAGTTGTAAAAATGTGCTTAAAATAATCCAGAACCACACCCGCCATATCATCCCCTTCCACCCATTCACCACGACTATCCATAATTTTAATTAAAGTATTCTTATTCCTTCGGTTCCAGGCATACCTATGATAAAACTTCGTGTTGGCATCAGCATCCTTGAGCCAGTGCTGTTTGGCCTTCTGCTTCCAGTATGCATCCTCCTGCATCTCCACTCTGCATAAGTCCATTTCTAGGCGGTTATACTCATCCAGGGATGCGTGATCAGTACATCCCTTGAGTTGATCTTGTCGTTTCCAGAGCTACTCAATCGTTTCCCCAAACTTATGGTAACGGTCTCCCCCCCATCGGGTTAACCGTCTTCCACAGTGTGCAATACAACTCTGTGCTCCCCTACTCCTTCCTTCCTCCCATGATTCAGCCACTACTGCTCTACATCCCTCATCATAGAGCCATGCCATCTCAAAGCGAAATCTTCGGCCCCCACCCCTCCTGGTCCCATAACATCGAATCCCCATGAAAATAGCTGAATGATCTGATCGTCTTGTCCATTGATTTGTAACTGTGACCCCATTAACAATATCTCTCCAGCGGTTAGTGACTAGTACCTTATCTAGTCTTTCCTGGATCCATCCAGGAGTGCCTTTGCCCGTCTGCCATGTGAACTGATTACTACTCATTGGTAACTATGCAAACCACACTGATCAATAGTCTCTCCAAAGCCGCGTAAGAGACTATTCGGGTGTGGATTTCCACCTTTCTTTTCATACTGATACAGGAGATCATTAAAGTCACCAATCACAACCCAGGGGAGCTCAGATTGTGTTGCCAACTGTTTCAATAGATCCCATGACTCAGTTTTTCGTGTTCGTTCTGGATAGCCATAGTAACAAGTCATTCTCCAACTCGGAAAACCACTAATATTAACCTCAACATCAATGTGCATCTTCGAGTAACCCAGTAATCTTGCAGTATTGTTCTTCCTCCAAAGTAATGCTAAACCACCACTACGGCCCGTATTATCAACATAAAAAAGGCCCTCGTAACCAATCGTAACATGAACACGTTCGGCATGTATTCGTGCCACCTTCGTTTCCATCAAAAATACAAAATCAGGCTTCTTCTTGGACACCATGTCCACAACTGCACGAACTGTCCGTGGATTGCCCAAGCCACGACAGTTCCAACTCAGAGTACTCATTGTTGTGGGCGGGTCTGAGAACCAGAGCCCGCCTGAAGCAAGTTTTTTGAGCTATCCGCCATGTTTATATCCGTATCAGTCAACTGTCTATTATCTTGTCTACGACGTTTAGCCAACGCCGTTACCCCCTCCTCCTCCTCCTCAGTTCGGCCGTGTGCCTGTTCAGTATCACCCGGATTTTCTGGTGCCCCACTCATGGTTCCCTGGTGGATCGGCGAATCATCCGAGTTTAGTAACCATGATTCTCCGACTGGCCGTGATCCTCTTGCCTGACCAGCTCTCATCCATACACCATAAGGATATTGCTCAGGAGTCAAAGTCGAGTTTCTAGCTTTCAAACAGAACTTTTCCGAATGCCCTAAAAGTCCACAGAAAAAGCAGAAAGTATGTAATCTCTCATATTTGAAATTCACCCATCCCCAAGACTTGTCCCGCCGAATCAATTTCATCTTTCTTTTTAGAGGTCTATCCACAGGCATACAAACCCTAATTCGGTAGAACGCTTTGAGAGGCCCCTTCATCTATCTTTCATCGATCTTTAGGAATTTCCCCAGAAAGTTCCCTGTCTTTTCAAGTACCAGTACCGTATTATAGCCAACCGGCAGGTTATACACCTGCACCCATAAATCCACAGTATCAAGCACCATATCCTCCGGCAACTGACCATCCTTCACCTCTTTACACAATAGCGTACAATTCTCAAAGGACCACGACCCCTCATCCATAACTCTCCGGACATCCGTTATATGATGGAATACAAACTGGAAAAGATTCGGTTGGAGCTCCGTGATATGCACACCACTAACCGGTTTCCATGCCGAGGCCATAACCTGTCGCATATACTCAACCTTGATTAATCGTTGAGTTAGGAACCGGCCGACCACCATCCAAGAATCCGCGACTGCCATTGCGCCATCGTCGACCGCCGGCGCCTCAACACCGGCGTCCTCATCTTCCAATACAATATCTGCCCATCTGTTCGACAGTCCCGCTATCACAGCTTTCGACGCAGCCATGCCAGCAATTTAGAAGCCTGTCGATCGTGTTGCTCTTGCGTAAACCTCCGTCCCTTTTTTATTTTCCTATTTTACTAATTATTATTATTAGTAATAATCAGTAAATTTCATTTATATTTTCATTTTTAGTGAATTAAGGATCTTTTTTTATTTTCTTATTTTACTACAAACTTTTTTTTACTAGTTATTGTTAGTATTAATTAATTAGTGAATTTCGATTTTTTTTTCTATTTTTCGTGAATTAAGGATCTTTTTTTTTTTACTACAAATGTTTTTACTAATTAATTGGTAATTATTTATTGTTTGAACGGGAAAGTAAGAAAGGAAGATTTTGTTTGTAATAACAGTATAGATTTATATTGTTAGATTTATACTTTAAAAATTATATTTAGAAATTTAAAAAGTAGCATTTAAATTTTGTATGATTAGTATAGTGCATAAGTGTATATATGCATGTATTTAAACTTTTTTATACATTTTTATATTTTGTTAATTTTATATTTTCATTTCCTTAATTATATGTCATATTTTATTAATTATAATTTAATGAAATTGTCACAAATATTTTCACGGAAAAAATCTTATATTTCTCAATTTCATTAATTATATTAATTATAATTACCAAATATTGTGGCAATTATCATTATAATGACATTAATTATACTAATTATAATACTTGTTCTCTTTCAATATTTAAATAATTACCATAGTAATTATACGAAAGAAGGAAAGAAAAATTATTAGAATAATTACCATTAATAAAAATTAAGAAATTATATTAAAAATTAATTATATATTAAGGTAATAATAATTTATTTTGTGCCAATAATATTATATATTAAGTATAAATATATATATATATATATATATATATATATATATATATATATATATATATATATATATATATATATATATATGTATATAGATTACCATACTAATTACACCAAAAAAGGTAACAATACATAATTATTAGGCAATAATATTAATAATTAATTATTAAGGCAAGTATAATTTATTTTGTACTAATAATATTATACATTAAGTGTACACACACACACACACACACACACACATATTACGTGTATATTATATTAATTAATTATAATATTTGTAAATTTTGTACTAATAATATTATACATTATTTTGTACTAATAATATTATACATTATTTGTTAGTTCAGATCCGTGACTTAGTCCTCGATCTCTATCCTTAACTTCTGTATTTTTGGTGTTTAAACCAGGATTATGTTTCGTTTTTTGTATACATCTTGTAATTATCTCAGAGGAATAAAGAGAGAAAAAAAAAAAGAACCACTTTCCGGTTCTGCAAAGCGCTTCGTTGCCTGTGAGGAGAAAAAGAGTTTGATTTCTGATAAGAAAAACGCCGGCCCTTCCTTATTGCCGGAAAATTAAGAAATCAACTTTGTAGTCAATGTTACCCGGGTCGCCATCAATGCCCAATCCATTGGATCCAGCGGCACTAAAAACACTTCAAGCAACAATTGCAAAATAATAATAATAATAATAATAATAATAATAATAATAATAATAATAATAATAATAATAATAATAATAATAATAGTAATAGTAATAATAGTAATAATAGTAATAATAATAATAATAATAATAATAATAATAATAATAATAATAATAATAATAATAATAATAATAATAATAATAATAATAATAATAATCTTGAAAACTGTAAAAAAAAAAAAAAAAAAAAAAAAAAAAAAAAAAAAAACTTACGTTTTCATGAGTTCAACACCAAGATATGATTCCACAGAGAGAACAGGAAGAAGAAGTGAAACCGTGCAAAAGCAAAAATTATGATTTCCGTACTCACAAATCCATTGTATTTATAGGTAGAAAATATGAGAATTATAAACTTGTATAATTTTTCAAAAAGGAAAGGTGTAATTATGTAATATTACCAATTACTAAATTTTAATTAATTTCCATTTTATATTTGATTACCAAATAAGTTTTACTACAAAAGTTTGAGCGGGAAAATGAAATAGGAGGATTATATATATATATATATATATATATATATATATATATATATATATATATATATATATATATATATATATATATATATATATATATATATATAGATATTGGATCCAATGAGACTCATATTTTGATGAGACGGTAAGATGTAATCTGGTTCGTTTATTTTTATTTTTTAACGGTTTTGATCTTTTGGTTTTGGATCCCATGTGCTGATGGTTTGTAAAGGAGTTAGGGTCATTGTAGTCTTTTGCTTGTGTTATTAATTCTGATCCCTTAATTATAGCGCGTGTGTGTAGTAGAGGCAGCATTATTTTTGGTATCAAATAAACTTCAAGTTTTAGAATTCGAACCAGTGTCTCTTCACATCACCCCTATCGATTCACTTCCCCCTCTGTCAATTTTCTCCACCGGCGCTCTTCACGCTGACATCGAATTTCACAGTTGCTCACGATTCTATGACTCAAAGATCCAAACGTTAAAAGTAATCTGTCACCGTCCATGTGCAAGGTATGATTCTTCTCGGTTTTTCCTTTTTCTCGTTATTGGTTGTGTTTTTTGGTTAATTTTTTGTGTGTTTGGGTTTATTACTGTTTTTTTTCCTTTTTTATTTTGGGTTATGAGTGGCGGCGTGGGGGAGGGGGGATGGGGTTCTGGTTTGATTTTGCAGCAGAGGAGGGGGTGTGTGGTGTGTAGGTTTGTTAGTTAGAGTTTTAATAGGGTTTTCTTTGTTTTTAGTGGAGGTGGGGGTTTGATCGTGTATCAGAGAGTGCTTTTTCATGCTCTTAATACCAGCATATGCATCTCCACTTAGATGATGTGCTTTCTCCCTTAAAGTCTTTGGTCTTTGCAGTATGTGCGTTAATTGTGCGACGTTTGTGCGTAATACTTTGATTACTAATTGGTTGGTGCGTTCTACATTTTCAGCTTGTGCGTAACATTGTAATTAGTAATTCGTTCAAGCGTTCTACGTTTTAGGCTTGAGCGTTAAGTCTCTAAACAAATCACAAGTGTTAATAAAATGGGTGATTAGATAATTGTATTTATTTTATTGAGGTATTTGTAAGATTGGTGTTATTTTTTTGAATTCTTGAATTCATATATTATATTTTATTTTGTTTTTATAAACTTAATATTCTCATCAAATTCGTATCCCATTCATCTAATCCACCTTAGCTTTTAGTGATTTACATCTGTTTATTCCACATTAAATATTGTGTAGCATATGAGAGTAGTAATTACTGTGTGCGTTATTAGTATGGGGTTTGTGCGTAATATTGTAATTAGTAATTCGTTGATGCGTTCTACGGTTTAGGCTTGTGCGTAATGTTATATTTTTAGGATCCGAATATGCGGGTGTACGGTGGTGTGTGGATGTGTGTGTGCTTTGTAGGACATATTTGAAGTTTGGGTTCATTAATGTTGGTTTTGTTTTAAGTATCCGG